ATATACATGACTATCACTGGTCAGTCGCCCACCTTCTGAGCTCCTCGGCATCTGAGCATGAGGGTGCTGACAACACAGTGGACAGTGACAGGGATGGCAGAGTATGGAGCCTTTAGTGGGAGAGGAAGGCTGTCTATCTGACGAGTTTGTATTCATGCTCAGATGCCGAGGAACTTTGCTTAATTTTTAAACTTTGTTGTGCCAGGCATGGTGGCACATTCCTTTAATGCCGAGTACTCAAGAGGTAACAGTAGGTGGTGCTGTGAGTTTGAGGCCAGTCTAGTCTACATAGTAAGTTCCAAGCTAGCCAGGGCTACATAGTTCCTATTGAAACCCCCCCAAATACTAACAAAACAAAACAAAACAAAACAAAAACCCCTTGTGGTAAATTTCATTCTTTGTATGATATAACTTAGAAATCCACTGAACCATACATATATAGCCACCATAAAGATACTTATTTGTAACTCTCATTCTTAAAGCCTGCACCCATGTCTTAGGTGTGTACCTTCCTTCTCCTAAGCATCTTTCTATAGTGCCTACATGCCTAAATCTGAAGCATATACTCTCCCTTATCTCTGCCTCATAAACTCTGATTGCTTCATTCTGACTTGTCCTGAAATTCTTTTCTGTAGTGTAGTCAAGAACCCAGTTTCGGGGGCTAGAGAGATGGCTCAGCGGTTAAGAGCACTCACTGACTGCTCTTGCAGAGAACCAGGATTTGATTCCCAGCACCCATATGGCAGCTGACAACTGTCTGTAACTCCAGTTCCAAAGGATCTGACACCCTCTCCTGACCTTCACGGGTATTACATGAGACAGGTGTACTTACATACATGCAGGCAATACAGTCATACACAATAAATATATTAAAAAAAAAAAAAAAAGAAGAACCCAATTTCAACTGTGTGGAGGTCCCTGGAGGGAGTAGGGGACTCCTCTGGCTACTGGTAGCAATGTTAGTCTGTTTCCCTACCACTGACAGTTTTAGTTTTGGCCGTGTGTGTGTGTGTGTGTGTGTGTGTGTGTGTGTGTGTGTGTGTAATATGTCTATGTATGACATGTGTGCACATTTATGTGTGAGTGTGAGTGCCACAGCACACACATGAAGGCCAGAGGACAACTTCAGGTGTAGGTTTTCACCTTCCACCTTGTTTGAAACAGGTTCTCTTTGGTGTTGTTTCTTCATCTACCAGGCTACCTGACCTGCAAGCTTCCAAGGAGTGTCCTGTTTGTGCCTCCCATCTCACCACAGGAGCACTGGGATTCCAGACACATGCTACCACATCTGGCTTTTACATGGGTTCTAGAGATCTGATCTCATGTCCTCCCTAGCCCCTTTGGTCTTGTTTTTTTATTGTGTATTTTGTTTTAATTTTTTAAATTGTTTTTTATTTTATGTTTTTTATGTGTATGAGTGTATTGCCTGCATGTATGTGAGTGCACTGTGTCGTGCAATGCTGCAGAGGTCAGAAGAGGGCATCGGATTCCCCTGGAACTGGAGTTAAGGATGGTTTATAGCCGCCATGTGGATGCTGGGAATCAAACCTGGATCCTCTGCAAGAGTAGTCAGTGCTCTTAACCACTGAGCCATCTCTCCAGCCCCTGGGTCTTGTTTTTTAAAAGATTCGTTTATTTTTATTTATGTGAATGTGTGTGTGCCTGTATGAATTTATGTGCACCACATGAATGCAGGCACTCATGGAGGCCAGAAGATGTCAGATCTCCAGGAACTTGGGTTACAGGTGGTTGTGAACCTCCTGATGTGGGTGTTGGAAACCAGACCTGGATCCTGTACAAGAGTAGTACGCTCTCCAAACTGCTGAACATTTCTCTAGCCCCACTTGGTCTTTTAAAAAAACTTTCTGGTCAGGGCATGGTGGCACACGCCTTTAATCCCAGCACTTGTGAGTTCGAGGCCAGCCTGGTCTACATAGTGAGTTCCAGGACAGCTGGGGCTACAAGGAGACCCTGTCTCAAAAAGACAAAAAAACAAAACAAAACAAACAAACAAACAAAATCTTTCTGATTCCATCTGTTCAGCTGTCTCCTGTGTGGTGGTTCCAGTCTGCTTTCAATTGCTGTGACAAAACACTCTGATCAATACCAACTTGGGGAGGAAAGGATTTATTTGGCTTATATCTCCAGGGTCACATTTCATCACTCAGGGAGTTCAAGATAGGAACTCAGGGCAGGAACCTGGAGGCAGGAGCTGAAGCACAGGCCATGGGGGAACGCTGCTTATTAGCTTGCTCCCCTAGCCTGGGTTCAGCCTGCTTTTTTACACAACACAGGCCCACCTGCCCAGGAGTGGTACTACTCACAGTGGACTGGGCCCTCCCACATCACCAATAATCAAAGAAAATGCCCAACAGATATGACCACAGGCCAGTCCAATGGAACCAATTCCCAGTTGAGCCTCCCTCTACCCGGGTGTGTCAAGGTGACAACCAAAGCTATCCAGCACAGAGATCACTCACTGATGCCCCGTTACTCTGATCACTCAGCCCAGCAAACTCACTTCCCCTTATCAGCAGTGACACATCTGTTATTACAATTAACATCTGTTGAGCACTCAGTTTGTGCCAGATACCATGGAAGCACCTTCTGGGCATAATATTTCTTATCCTCCCTTCATTATTACTATCTCCACTGTATAGGGAGAAAGCAGAGGCTCATTTAGCTCAAGTCACTGGTACCAGGTTACCAGCCTGTAAGGGAAGGTGTGGGGCTTGATGTCAAGCAGCTTGAGTCCAAATCCAAGTTTCTAGCCTTACCCACTGAGCAAAGATGAGCTAGTACCAAATCACATGCTGCAGGCCTGATATGGGGTGCCCAGTGTGCAAGAGACTGAACCGCTGCACACCATCAGTCGAGGAAGGGATCCTGGTAGATCTGTGATTGCTTTCCGGGATGACTTCTGGGAAAGATTTGTTTGTATGTTTCCTTTGGTTGTCTTGGCTTTTGTTTGAGACACAGGCTTGCTATGTTGCTCAGGCTGCCCTCTTATTTGCTATGTAGCCCAACTTGACTTTGAATCCTCAAATCCTCCCACCTCAACCACCCAAGTGCTAGGATTACAGGCATGTACCACTGCACCTGGCTGACTTATGGGATAGATTCTAAGTGAAAAAAACAGGAAATACTGGGGCTGGAGAGATGGTTCAGTGGTTAAGAACACTGGTTGTTCTTGTAGAAGACCCAGGTTCAAATCCCAGGACCCACATGGCAGCTAACAACTGTCCAGTTCCAGGGTATTGCTGTCCTTCATGGGTACTGCATGACACGGGTGCACTTATCTACATGCAGGCAATACATGCATACACATAAAATAAAAATAATTAATAAAAAAGTTCTTTTTAAAAACCAGGAAGTACCACAGTGTCACAAATTCCCATTTGCCTTGTGTGGGTGTGCAAATGCTACAGGGTGTGCAAAGTACCCTTGAGTACAGAAAGTCAGGGTGTGAGGGGATTTACCTTTTCTTGTATTGTGCTTTTTGTTGTTGTTGTTGTTGTTGTTGTTGTTGTTGTTTATCTTTTTTGGGACAGGGTCTCCCTATGGCTCAAGTTGGCCTGGAACTCACTATGTAGACCAGGCTGGCCTCCATCTCACAGAGCTCCCCCTGCCTCTGCCTCCTGAGTGCTGGGATTAAAGGCATGTACCACCATGCCCGGCCATTAGTGTATTTTTTTTTAAGAAAGGAAAGTGTAGATTACTTTTTAAAGTAAAGATTGCCTCATTTTCACATAGATGTCCCACATGCAGCACCTCAAAACAAATCCAGAGCTATAACAACCGTCTTTCTCCCTCTTGCTGGTGACCCTAACTTCATTCTGGCACCCAGGGTAGAAACCTGGATGGCAACATACACACTGCCAACCACTGCCAGACCTCTCTTTGTTAGTGCGCCCATTTGGTGTGCAGAGCATGCATATATTTGGTATATTTTTTAAAAACTTAGGTGGGTGATTTTTTTACTAAGTAACCCAGATTGGCTGTGAACTCAAGATCTTCCTGCCTCAGCCTTCTGCGTTCTAGGATGGCAGGTGTACCCCAACATACCTTTCATTTTTGTTTTGATGAGTATGGAACCAAGGGCCTTGGACTTATTAGGCAGGTGCTCTACCACTGAGCTATGTTCCCAGTCCTTGACATTTTCTTAAAGCTCTTATTTTTATTTAAAATGTTTTTATTATTATTAATTTTTTTTGTCTTTTTGAAGCAGGGTCTCCCTGTAGCCCCAGCTGTCCTGGAACTCACTACGTAGACCAGACTGGCCTTGAACTCACAGAGATCTGCCTGCCTCTGCCTCCCTAGTGCTGGGACTACAGGCGTGTGCCACCATGCCCGGCTTTTATTTTTATTTTATGTGTACAAGTATATTGCCTGCATGTATGTGAGCACACCCGTGTCATGCAATGCCGTGGAGGTCAGAAGAGGTCTTCAGATTCTCCTGGAACTGCAGTTAAGGACGGTTCATAGCTGCCATGTGGGTGCTGGGAATTGAACCTGGGTCCTCTGCAAGAGCAGTCAGTGCTCTTAACCGCTGAGCCATCTCTCCAGCCCCAAAGCTCTTATTTTTAAAAGACTGGCCATAAACCTCTGCAGATGTGACAGTCTCTGTGCCTTATGTCTGGTTTCTCTCTCAGCGGAGGGTCTTCAAGGTTCATTCATACCAATGGCATGTATGGAGATTTCCTTCTGTTATAAGGATGAATGATTCTATTGTAAATTTTCTGTTTGTACGTGGGCTTTTTAGTCCTGAGTTCTCACCCTACCTTTACCCCTTTCTATGGAGCACCAGGCCTGCCATTCCTGATAAAGTTTTCCGGATGCCTGCTGTATGCCAGGCTGAGGCCAGGGGACACAGAGATAAAGCTGGTGTGTCATCTCCCAGAGTTTCCCACCAGAGCACAGGGTGCCCAAGATCTACTAGGGGACCAGGGGGACTGGGAAGCTAGGGAGGTGCCTCTCATCACTGGTTGTATCACTCACAGCTTCCAGAAACTTCCAAAGATCCAGGGGAAGGGGCATGAACAATGGACCAGGCTTCAGGAGTACTCTGTGGCTCTCCAGAAGAAAACTTAAAGAGGAGACCCTGGGACTCTGAAGAAGTTTCCACCTAGAGAGCCACTCCCCAGGACACTGTGAGACAAAAAAGACACAGGTGACAAAGTTATAACTGAAGAGCCCTGGACCTACAGCCTGAGACCTCCATGAAGCCAGCAGGAGGCAAGGTATTTTAAGGACCTACAAACACTAACTACCTTAGGGTAGTTAGATATTATCATGTCAATAAACAGACTGAGAGCTACTGTGGGATGTGGCCCATCATTCCCTCCCAGTTCTGGCCCAAGCAGGCCCCAGCCTGTAGCTCCTCAGACCTGATGAAGACACTTGCTCCAGGAGAGCTACTTCCCTTAAATGAGCAAGCCTCCCAGCCCACCAGCTGCTGTGTGGTCCCTTTTCCCTCCACACACTTCTCCTACTCTGAGAAGTTCCTGACCCTCACAGAGGTGCTTTGAAGGTTCTGAGTGTAGCTCAGTGGCAAACTATGTGCTTAGCATGACCAAGGCCCTAGGTTAGGTGGCCTGGAAGAAAGAAAAGGAAAGTGGGCAGGAAGAGTGGAGGCGAGTGGAAGAATGGCAACCTGAGGCCACACAGGTATGAGACAGGCTTAGACAGAAGGACCCAGCAGGAGCTGGACCACTAGAGGAGGCTAGGTATCCTGAGGAACTGATAACAGCATAGAGGCACCTGTTCTTCCGTAGAAACTGCTCCTCCTTGGAAAGCTGGCCACTCTGCTGCTGGCAGGAATGTCTGTGTCTCTGAGGACACCGTAAGGTCCTGTTGAGAATTGCAGGAACTTACCTTGCAGCCTGTTGGCTGCTCAGCTCTCTTCTGCATGGTCAACTGCCTAGAAGGCTGGCTTCGTGCAGATCGATGCCTGTGGCTTCTGTAGTATCTCCCTTCACCTCCTCCCCTGGGCCGTTTGCCATGCCCCTCACTGGCACTGATACTGACTAGATGAATGTTCCCAGATATTGCTGTGTTCTATCCTCTCCCCTTATAATAGTGGGATTCCAGCACAAGGTAGTTCTCTCCAACCCCTCTCTTCCTCTGTGTAGCAGGCACCCTGGTAACACTCCCCTTGAGACAAAGTAGGAGGTCTGGCACAGAACCTGAATTCTCAGAGCCAGAGTTCATGTAGGATGTGCTTCACGTTCACACTCCAGCTCTCAGCAGCTTCTGTGCCACAGGTATCATCCCTATCCCAGATTTACCCAGCTTGGAACAGCCTCTCAGGTCTTGATAAATCTTTCCACAAGCCAAAAATAAAGCCCTACTACCTCATCCAAAGGGGATTCGTTGGTTGAGGTGGAAGCCAACTGGGAGTAACACTTCTGGTGCCCCACACACAGATGTGGAGGTAACATCTGAGTTTCCTCCATCTCCCTCAGCCCTAGTTCCATTCATCTGGGCCCTTGGTTAGGGTGAGCACCCACGACACAAACAGCACCCAGGGTACAAACAGCCTGAACTGAACTTAGACATCAACAGCACCCAAGGCAGATATAGTACCCAGGGTGCACACACACAGCACCCACTGCACCTATGGCACTCATGGCACCAACAGTACACACAGTTGGGTCCTTTTCTCATGGCTCTGCCAGAGTCCCAAGCTTGCTTTGCCCTGACCTGAATGTAGACACATGGTGATGATAATGGTGGAGGCCTGTGGTCCATGTCTGTCTCTGGAGGGGCAACAGAGGACATGCCCCCTAAACTGCCAAGGGGAGAGCTGTGTGGGGAAAGAGAAATGGCCGGGGTCCTGAGCAGAGCAGGACAGCAGAGGTGCCCTACCAGCTCCAGCCTCTGTGTGTGTGTGTGTGTGTGTGTGTGTGTGTGTGTGTGTTGGGGAGCTGGCATTCCAATGTGCCTTAGGTGTGCCATACATACAGGAACCAGAGAGAAGCCGCCAGGCCTGGCAAAGCCTGATCCAGGCTGCCAGGGCATCAGTCACTCTAGGGGCCAGTGTGCCATCTGCTGAGGAGGCTGAGCCAACAGTCCCAAGAGAAGTTCTTCCCCTGGGTGACAGAAACAACAGCCCAGGAAACAAGATCCCTGTTTTCTCCGGGTTGGAGAGCAGGGCCAGGGTGAGTACACAGTGCCCAGGTACAAAATCTAAGGCAGCATTCACACTGTGTGGCCAGCACTCAGGGGAGATGCAGACAGAGTGGCTCTGGCCTGGCCCCCGACAAACGGGCTTTGCAGCTACAAGGGGCAGCCTTTGCTCCACATCTCTATGCTGCTCCAGTTCTCCAGGTTTCAGAACCAATGCACCTTTGACACCCCACCCACCTCAGATGGGCTTTATTAGCCACATGTTGCCAGGAAACTCGTGGTCCAGCTGCATGTGGTGGCGCGTGCCTTTAATCCCAGTACTCAGGAGGCAGAGGCAGGTGGATCTCTGAGTTCAAGGCCATCCTGTTCTACATAGTGAGTTCCATGCCAGCTGGAGCTACCAGGAGACCCTTGCTCAAAAAAAAAAAAAAAGCAAACTCATGGTCCAGTTCAAAGGTGGCTGGTTTGAGCTTGGCCACCTTATAAGTGCCACATGCATCCCACTCTTCCTCCACCTGAGACTGAGCCAAGCAATCCAGCTGCTGCTGAGGACACCCCTGCCCTGCCCCGACTTCTGCCTCTGCCTTCAGATAGTATCCATGGGCTGTCCTCAGAGAAAGCAATAGCTGCTGCTCACTCAGGTTCAGACATGGTCAGATGGCCTCGATGGAAGGAAGGCACCACTGGGGAGCAGAGTGGGCTGCCCTGGCCCTGGCCCAGTCAGTACCCATGAGATTGGGCTCATGCCCAACTGTCCAGATGGCTTAAGCCCTGACTGCTCCTGGCTCAGAGAAGTTGAGGTGCTGTCCAGCACCTCTATGATCTTGAGGTAGTGATGAGCAGAGACAGTGCTCCCAGGTGTCAAGCACACAGACTCCAGACGCAACCCCAATGCTGCCACTTGGCATTTGTAGGGCCCATGAGCTTCATACTTATAATTTGCCCATCCTTAAGTTGGAGCCATAATTGGGGTACCTCAAAGGTTGGCTAGGAACTGTGATAAGAGGCTCCCCCACCATCTGACTTGGAGTGCCTACTGTTGTCTTCATCATGGACTGGCATACGAGTTTCCTCCAGGTGCGGCTTGGGCCAGGAAGCGGGATGGGGTCTGGGAGCAGTAGGAGGTGACCCTTTTCTATCACCAGTCCTGTGGCTCAGCCACTATTAGCAGGGACCTGTTAATGAAAATTCACACCCAGGTACTAATAAACAATGGGCTGCTCCCCGGCTCCTCAGAGAAGAGGCCCTCTGCAGGGAAGGGGGCTGGCCAATGAGCTCCACTTATCTGTGAAAAGACTTGCTAATAACTTTAATTCCCTATCCGAAAACACTGGGCCTTTACCATGCAAATAGATTTTCTTCACTGGGTTGGCTCCAGGGTCAGGAAGACTTCTTGTCCAGAGCCAGTTAGAGTATTGGGAGGAGACTGTCAGATGTGGGCCCAGGTACTGGGAAAGGAGGTGAACAGTGAAGGTGTGAGCTTCCCCCACACCCTAGGAATCTCCTTTGCCATCACTGTCTCTGCGGCCAAACACCAGCTACGGTGTGCCCCACTCAGGCCTGGACCCCTGAGCAGCAGAGCAGAACCCTGACCCCACTCTACATGACAGCCCCTCCTGGCCTGAGCCAGAGTGCTGGAAATGATCCCCTGGGGTGATTTCAATGGATAAACTGTTGAGGAGCTCTGTGAAGGTGCAGCATTGGGCACATGAGCCAACGTGGATGAATCTTGAAAACATGATCAGAAAAAGCTAGATACATTGTTTCCTTTTATAGGATATATTTGGAACAGATCAATTTCATTAGGGAGAAAAGGTACCTTTGCAGGGGTGAGTCATGAGAGTGAGGCTAATGGGTGGCTTCCTTTGGAGGTGATAAAAACATTCTAAAATTAAGGTTACACAACTCTATGAAAACACCAAAATCATTGAGTTGTGCTCTTTAAAATACAGCATGTGCCATGGTGGCAGACATCTGTGATCCCAGCACTCTCAACAAAGCAAGGCAAGATCAGTTGAGCAACATGAGACTCTATCTCAAAATAAATAAATAAAGCCTGAGGTTTGTGGCAAAAATATCTCAATAAAACTCTTATTTAAAAAAAGAAAAAGAAAAACAAATACTAAGCTGTGTATTTCAGGCACTTGAGGGAGAGGAAGAGCTGGTGTCCCTGTGAGTAAGCCCTCAGAGAGACTAAGATCCCTCAAGAGCCCACCCTCATTCTCTGAACCCCTTGGCCAGCTGATGGCCAGTCTCTTTCTGGCCTCTAGGTTCCCCTCTTCACCACACCTTCCTGATCTGAATTTCACAAACGCAGGTCAGCAACCAACAGGCCCTTCATCTCACCCTAGCCAGGCCTCCAGAAACCATGGTCACATAAACTTGGGACTCTCCCACTGATGTTTTTGTGTCCCCAAGACACATCAAAGGAAAACCAGGAGACTGTGGATGGGAAGACCCCCATATATAAGAATTGGAGACTAGTACAGGAAGAATCAGTTTTGGGAAACCCCTTAGAGCTGGTACAGCTCAGTGCCCCAGAATGAATAGACCTGACAATATTCTCCCATTGGCTGAGAACTCCAAGTCCTACATGGGTTTGAGTCTTGACCTTTTTTCCTTCTGTAAAATATGTGTAAAGGTAACGAAGGCACAATACACAATAATGGAACTGTATTTTCTACAGAAGTATTTTGGCCTTACCTAGCTCCTTACTAGGTTTGGAAAGATAAGGGAGTACTTCCTGCTACCATCTCACAGGAAGCCCACAGACTGAGCCATACAGAATGATGTTGACCTTGATGGGACTAGGAGGAAAGGCTCAGAGGGAGCCCTGTGTTTTGAGGCTGAAGATTACAAGACTCCCTCTTAATTCCATGTGAGCTTTCCTGCCACATATAGGAACTTTTAGCAGGGTTCGGTGGCTTGCGCCTATAATCCCAGCATGAGTTTTGGCCAGCCTGGGCTGTACAGTGTTAGACCCTGGAGAGAGAGAGAGAGAGCAGAGACAGAGAGGTGACACCAGCAGAAATGGTTTATTCACAAATAAATACACACCAGGCAGAGCTTCCTGCCTGCTTCAGAGAATTTATCATATGGGTCCCTCCTTCCACGGAGTTGGGAAGGTACCACTGCCCGGGTGAGGACCAGCTCCCACTCTGGAATGTCTACAGCAGTATCACTGGTGCCTCTTCCAGAGAAGAAAATTCGCTTCCAAGGTGCTGAGGCACAAAGCCTCTGTGCTCAGATGTGGCGCCTGTCATTGTTGTTCCTTGGACTCTTCAGGATGGTGGCCACTCCTGGAGCGAGAGAGGCATCCAGGTGTCCAGCAGGGCCAGCACATTGCTGGTGAAAAGCTGCAGGGAGAGAAACAACAGTGCAGCCCTTAGTATCTCGATGCCAAGGGTCGGCTCCGCATTCATCTGCTTCACACTTGCTCTTCCTCGAGAGAGCAAGGGGGGGCGGGTCCCTGATTCCTGCGTGGACCTCCCCTCACTATTTGGGTGCCCAGGGCACGCCGAGAAGCTCTCAACAGCAATCGGGTGAGGCCAGGATGGTCTCAGAGTGTGGTAGGGAGGGTGGTCCCGGCCATGGGGCTGTATGTAGGGCCTCGGCAGTAGGGGGCCGCCACCCCAAGGCGGAGAGAGGCGTCAGCACAGGGAAAGTGCTACTAACCGGAGACGAGGGGCTTGGCTCCATCGCCTGCCTTTCCGGAGACGCGATCTCGGCGTACAGCAACGACGGGTCGCAGGGCTCTGGTGCTACCCCGGGTCTAGGGCAGGCAGATAGGGATCCCCTCGACAACCCGCTGCAGGCCGTCGGGGTCAAGATGGGGCCGAGCGACTGCGCCTGCGCCGGGCCGCTGTCCGGGCACAGTGGGCAGCCGCGAGCGGACGCCGCGTCTGCGCTCCGCCGGCACCGCAAGCTGTCCTCGCTGAGGCCCAGCACGGCCGACAGGTGGCTGATGTAGCGGATGGCCAGGCGCAGCGTCTCGATCTTGGTGAGGCTCTGGCCCGCCGGCGCCACCGATTGAGGCAGAAAACGACGCAGCTCGTGCAGCGCTCGGGCGAGCGTGCGCATGCGCAGCTTCTCGCGCTCGCTGGCGCTTTGCCGCTGGACACTGCCTAGTCGGCCGCCATGTGCCCCACGCTTCCCCGGGGTCCCTGCACGCCTGGCGGGGCGAGAGCAGGGCGGCAGGGAGCTGCCGGCCCGGGGACTGACCCATGAGTTCGGGGACCAGGCAGGGAAACAGGTGCTGTCCCTGTCAGAGGGCAGCGGCGGCGGTTGCCGATCTGGACCCAGGATCCAGGATTCTGCGAGCGGCGAGCACAACTGCTGAGCCATGGTGGCGGAGGCGCGTCCAGGGCCCCGGCAGCAGCTTTATCCCGAGCCCAAGGTGTGAAGTGGCCCCTTCCAAGCCGCATCAACACATCAAAGCGGGCTCGGAGGCCAGGAGGGGGCAGGGCCTGACCCTTTGAACCAAGAGCAGGGGTGCTAAGGTGCTGCCCCCTCCGTCTGCCCCACCTGGGCCCTAGCTTGAGCTTCCTGGAGACCTGCACCTAGTGGCCTTGGGTGCCCAGGCACTGGATTAGCCCTGCAAGTTAAAGGCAGCATGGTTAGATAACTGGAAGTCCAGCTCCTACGTTTGGGGTCCACCTTCATCTGTTGGGGACCTTATGCAAATTCTTAAGTTTTTTGCATTTTAATGTCCAGCTTGTATAATTGGAGTCTCCTGGTTTGCAGAGCAGTCTGTAGAATACAGTAGGAACCAGAAGTGTAACCCATTCCTCCTCAGAAGCTGACTGGTGGCAGGGAAGGCCTTTCCCTGCTTAGTAGGGGTATGGGAGGCACAATGAAGAAGCTATCCCAGGCAAATAAATCCAAGCTGGGTTGTCTGAGCAGGGGGAGAGGTGAGCCAGCTGCCCCTGATGTCACCCCTAGCTTTGACAAGATAGGGAGCTCCATGCATTGCCCCAGCACTCCTGTCATTGATCTTGTGCTGCCTTGGGGACATACAACAGATGAGAACTGAAATGGGAATGAAAAAGCATTTAACAAAACTCAACAGCTCTAAGCTGGGTGTGGTGGTATACTCTTGTAATCCTAGCACGTGGTAGGCTGAGGCAGGAGGCTCAGGAGTTCAAGATCAAGACCTGGCTACACAGCAAGTTCAAGGCCAAGCAAAACAAAAACAAAAAGGGAAATGAACCAAAAGTAGACATCCTTATCTGTCTTGTTGCAATCTTCCACTTTTTGGTATGTTGCTACCTGTTGGGTCTTTGTGGATGCCTTTTTTTTTTTTTTTTTTTTGACGGGTTTTCTTGTACCCCGGGTTGCGCTTGGTTTTTTGTGGTGCCCC